ACGTTAAAAAAGAGCGCTCGCTAGCCCGAGGAGGCGGAGGAGGACGCCGGCGACGGCGCGAGGATGGGCGCCGCGGCGTCGGCGTCGCCGCCGGAGAGGTCGACGAGCTCGAGGGCGTTGTCGTCGTCGTCCTGCGGCGCGGCGTCGTCGTCGTCGTCCGCGGCGACGAGCCCGCCCGGCGCCTCCTGGCCCGCGTCGTCGTCGTCGTCCTCGCCCGGTTCGCCGCCGTCCGCTTCGCCGCCCGCGTCGTCGGGCGCGGCGACGGGCGCGTCGGCGCGGTTCGCCGCCGCCGCCGCGGCGGCGTCGAGGCCGCCGCCGAAGGCGTCGACGGTCGCGTCGTCGGGCACGAGGGGCATGAAGAGGGACCACGTCGGCGGCAGCATCGCGTCGAGAGCCGGCCAGGGCAGCTCCGTGTGCCGCGCGCGCGGCGTCTCGTGGTCGACGTCGCCGCGCGCGTGCGCCGGGAGCTCGAACTCGAGGATCACGTAGAGCACGGCGTGGGCCATGAGCAGCGCCGCGACGGCGAGGTTCAGCAGCGCGTAGGGCCGCGCCAAGGCGTAGAACGTGCCGTGCGCCGCGAGAAAATAGAGCAGCGTGAGCTTGGGCAGGTAGGCGATGGACGGCGCGGACCGCACGTAGACCATGGTCGCGTACTCCCAGCCCAACGCGACGCCGAAGACGCAGAGCGGCAACGTTTTCGGTAGAGGCCGCTGCCCGAGGTAGAACCAGTCGGAGAACGCGACCTGGCAGGCCTCGTAGGCCGCGTAGAGCAGGACGACGCGCACGACGTGCGACGCGACGAAGGGGCACGCGGGCCGCCGCTGGGCCCGCAGCAGCTCCAGCGGCGCGCCGAGCCACGGGTAGCTCAGCGACAGCGCGCCGAAATCCAGCCGCGCGCCGCAGGACGTCAGCCCGTACCAGAGCAAAAAGGCCGCGACGACGCCCGACGACACGAGCACGCGGATCACCAGCGCCGTGATCGTCGACATGAAGAAGAAGGCGATGAGCGATTTCGCCGCGACGCCGAACCGAAAGACGAACCACCGGCCCGTCGCGCGGAGCCCGCCGTCGCCGCCGCGCGCCTTCGCCCGCGCCTTGACGAGGCTCCGCCGCCAGCGGAAGACCTCGCCGCTCGCGTCGTTCCGCAGGATCGCCGACGACCCGAGGCCGTACATGGCCTGGTTGATGACCGGCGTGTCGTAGCCTAAGAGCTCGCGGTGCGCCCAGGCCGCGAGCGAACTCCCGGCGTCGAGGCACGTCTTGGAGAGCGTCACGTTCACCGTGCGCACCTTGTGGGCCCGGAAGAAGGTCTCCTCCTCGAGGTAGAGCAGCGCCGCGCGGCGCGCGAGCGAGTAGTCGCCGCCGCGGACCGCCCACCGCGACGCGTCGTCCCGCGCCGCGTCCGTGCCGTTGCTACTCAGGCGCCGCGTCGCGACCTCGTTGGCCTCGGCGATGAGCTCCGCGTCGCCGGGGAGGGATCCCAAACTGATCTTGACGACGACGTCGCGCGGGAGGCGCCAGCCGCCGTCGGACGCGTTGCTCCCCGGGGGCGCCTGGACCCGCAGCGCCTCCGCGAGCTGGGGGGCGAGGCAGTTGCCCCGCTCGAGGGACGCGTGGAGGGCCGTCGAGAGCAGGAGCAGGCTCACGGCGACGACGAAGGTCAGCTCCGTCACGATCCAGCAGGCGTTGAGCGGGCGCACGTGGAGCCGCTCCCGGTTCCGCTCGAGCGACGCGAGCGTCGACGCGTGGACGCGGTAGAGCACGCGCTCGAACTCCATCGCGCTCCCCACGTGCTCCTTCCCGGCACACGACCACCTCGAGCTTGGTCGGCCGAGCTTTATCTCGTTGATGCGTGGGTGAACCTGTGGTTGAACCGGTTGCTGAGGCTTCCGCTGCGCGATAGACCGGGCCTGGGCAGCCGCAGCGTGCTCGAGAATCTGCGACAGTTCCGACAATTGAGTGTTGGTGACGTTCGAGAGCATCCAGGTGCGCGACGGCGCGGTCCTCGGGCAGCATAAAACACACCACACTCGGACGACACATGGGCTGGCTGGAAAACAGGCTCCGGAAGCGCCGCGTGGCGCCCTCGGACGGCGATGCTCGGAACGGGACCTGGTCGGCGGCGGACAAGGCGTGCCTGCAGCGCGCCATCGACCCGCTGCGCGCGAACTTTCGCCGGCGGCCCTTTGCGTTCCTGGGAAGCGAGGCGACGACGATGCTGTGCAGCTCGAAACCCGGCGAGGTCTACGAGCGGCTCACGTCCATGCTGAGCAACATGTCCATCGTCTCGGGCGTCGTGTTGTCCGCGTTCGCCGGCGCGGCGCTCAGCCCGCTGGCGCCGGACGACTACCCGCCCGCGGCGCGGACCAAGGTCGACGCGTTCAACGCCGTCGCCGCGGTCTGTGTGGAATTCAAATCTTCAACCCGACTTCAATGTGAGCGTATGCGACAGTTTCGACGCTCTCTTCGGCTGTGCGTCGAGAACTCGACGAGAGCAATCGATCCGTCCAAAAGTCAGCCGAATCGACTTCGATTTGACCGAGCTAGAGAATTCTGAAGTTTGGTCAGGACCACCCAAACCAGTGGTTGAATTCCACAGGCCGCGGTGACCGTCGCGATCCAGCTGCTCGTCTGCCTCTACTCGACGTTCACGCTCTACATCCTCACGGCCAACGCGCCGTCGCCGTCGGCGACGTACCGGCACCTCATGCACATGGCGCGGTGGATCGGCTTCCTCGAGTTCATGACCTTCGTGCCCGCGCTCGGCGGCTTCGTGCTCGTCGGCATCGCGGCGACGTTGCGCTGCGGCGACTTTTCCCTCTACGTCGTCGCCGCCGTCGCGGCGGCCTTCGTGACCTTCCAGGCCTGGTTCGTCTGCCTCAACATGTGGGCGTTCCCCTACAACTCGTGGTGCTGGGCGCTCCCCGCGGGCAGTGGCGTGCCCTGGATGCTGCCGTGGAACCGCGACCTCGCGGAGGACCACGGGAGGCTCCTCCTCGACGAGGCCCGGGAGGGCGTCCTCGCCGGCCTCGACGACGACGGCGACGACGTCATCGACAACGTCCGCGAGCCGGAGCGCGCGCGCGAGCTCGCGGACTGGATCCGCACCGCGCTGCCGGGCTTCCCGCGCTGCGTCGACGTCGCCGAGGACCTCCTCGCGAACGGCCTCACGCGCGACCGCCTCGTCGAGGCCGCGACGCTCCCGGGCGGCTTCCAGGTCCTCGTCGACATGCTCTCCGCGCAGATGAAGGGCTCCGGCCTGCGGCCGGGCGACCGGCTCGCCGTCGCCGCGGCCGCGATGCGGGACGCGGCCGCGGTCGCCGTGACGGTCGCCGCGTAAGCAAACAGGGGGTTTATACCCGGCCCGGCCGGAAGCGGGCGCAGGGCCCTCACTCGACGGTCGCGTCGACGGTCACGGTGGCGAGCGTGTGGCCCGCCGCGTCCTGGAGGGACACGGAGCCCTTGGCCGTGACCTTGACGGGCAGGGGCGACGACGGCGGCAGCGCGAGCGTGTAGTCGACGCTCAGGGGCTTCGCCGCGGCGATGAGCGGGCACGGCGGCAGCGCGACGGTGATCTCCTGCTTGACGATGGGCACGGTCGCCGTGCAGTTGGCGCCGCAGGCGGGGCACGTGACCTTGAAGGGCACGATGGAGTCGACCTTGAGGTCGACGACGATCTTCGAGCCCGCGGCGACGTCGGCGCCCGCGGCCGCGGACGCGGTGACCTTGACCGAGTCGCCCCAGTTCCAGGCGCAGTCGTTGGAGCCGTAGGCGTCGGAGCCGCTGCAGCCGTGGTCGAAGACGGCCTTGCCGGAGAAGCCCTCGGCGACGTGCGACACCGTGCGGCTGAATTTGATGGAGCTGTCCGACGCCGCGCTCTCCAGCGCGAAGGCGCGGTCGAGCTCGAGGTGGTACGACGCCGCGAGGGCGAGCACGGAGGCGGCGGCGACGAGCTTGGAGGAGGTGTACATGGTGTGGCCTTTGTGTTCCGACAAAGACAGACGCTGTTCCCGACCAAGGGCGCCCTTCAGCCAATGAATTGCCACAAGGATAATCAGGATATGCAAAGGTCAACATTGGACGAAGCAGCCCGATCGAAAAAAAATCCGAGGCGATGGACTTACTGTCCGGCGCCGCGGCGTCCATCTTCGGCGAGTCCATGCCGCCGCAGCCGCCGCCGTTCTGGCGCTGCCGCTGCGGCAGCGTCAAGGTCGAGTTTTCCACGGCGCCTCGGTTCTGCTTCGACTGCCATTGCCAGAGCTGCGTCGCCTGCGCCGAGTTCTGCATGACGAACATCCCGAGCGGCACGTCGGCGCTGAGCGAGTGCGGCGGCGTGAAGAAGGCGCTCTTCCACTGCGGGGACTGCACGCTGCCGCCGGACGCGCACGAGAAGCTCTACTGGATCCGCGTGACGACCGAGGGGCGGAACTACCGCTCCGCGACCAAGTGCTGCAACACGCTCATGTGCACGGCGTCGCTGCCCATCGCCCTGCGGCCCTTCAACCGCAACGGGCTCTACAACTTCGACGGCAGCAGGTACGAGCCCGCCGAGCTGCTCCGGGGCAACTGCGCGCACGCCGCGGAGCCCGGGCCCGCGCCGGCGTCCGCCGACCGCGTATTTCGAGGAGGCATCCGTCTTCGTAGGTCCATCCCCGAGCCGCGCGCCGACGGCATGCCCGAGGGCATGCTCTCGTGCCTGCTCCACGCCGCGGCCTTCGCGCCCGGCGACGGCAATCCCGCGTGGCTCCCGCCGAGCCCCGCGGCCTTCGACGTGACGCTGCCCAAGCTCTGGGACGACCCCGAATAAAGATTAGTAGCGGAACTTGACGGGCTTCTTCTTGGGGACGATGGACATGGCGTTCTCGCGGCGGTTCAGCGACACGGCCGTGTTGAGGGAGTAGCTCGGGAGCGACTGGCGCAGCAGCACGCCCGGGTTCGGCTCGCGGGACGCGAGCGTGTCCGAGGGCACCTTGGACGACGGGAGGCAGGCGAGCACGTCGGCCACCGCGACGCGCTTCGACCGCGTCGCGTTCCGGAGCGCCTCGTCCGCGCGCCGCTGCTCGACGACGGACGTCATGGACCCCGTCGTCGCCCCGGACATCACCGACGCGTCGCCCGGGAAGCTCCGCAGGGACTTTCCGCCCGGCGACGCGCCGCCCGACAGGGGCGACATGGGCACGGGCGGGTCGAGCACGGGCCCTTCCGCGAAGGCGACGAAGGACTGGCCCAACAAACTCGGCCGCTCGAGCTGCGCCGGCGTGTGGGGCCAGCCGAACTTTTTCTGCCAGCGCTTCGCGCTGAGCTGGCGCCGCTTCTCCGCGAGCGCGCCGACGCCCGTCGCGCGGGCCTCGTGCGCTAAGGCGCGCTTCGCGGCGCGCGCGGGCGTCGACGCGGGCCGCGCCACGCCGCCGTCGGCCTCGTCGATGAGCTGGAAGACGGACTTGCCGCCGTCGACGTCGCCCCGGCGTTTCGGGAACGCCGGCGCGCGGAGCGGCAAGCGGTAGCCCGGCGGCGGCAGCGGCGGCGGCTCGACGGGGCCGCGCTCCGCCGCGTCCAGCAGCAGGGGCACGCTCGACACGCCCCGGAGCCAGCCCCGGTGCCGCAGGAACATGACGTAGGAATCGTTGGCCGGGGGCGCGTGGTCCTCGGCCGCCGTGTTGTACTGGCCCGACACCTTGGGGCGGCTCGACTGCTCGAGCTGGGCGTGCTGCAGGACGTGCTTCTCCAGGCTCGGCAGCCCCGCGCGCAGCGCCAGCGACCCGAAGGGGTCACCCGCGGCCGGGCGGCTCGGCAGGCCCGCCACGGGCTCGTAGTGGGACCGCTGGACCATCATGGTGCCCGAGAGCGCTCCAACGTTCAACAAATATCTTTATCGTGCGTGTTGACCCGCTCGTTACAGCGCTGCGCAACGTCCTGGGCCCGAGGTCTGGGACGCGATGCCGCCCAAGAAGAAGGGCAAGGGGAAGAAGGGCGGGAAGAAGGGCGCCGCGAAGCTCGCCGAGGAGGCGGCGAAGCAGCAGCAGCTCGCCGTCGCGAAACGGCGTCCGCCGCGACGCGCGAGACGACGAGACACTGAGAAGAACGCCCCGTGACACGCACCCAAGCACGATCCCTTTTGTCCCCCGCAGGCGGAGCAGGAAGCGAAGCGGCGCTACGAGGAGGAGCAGGCGGCCCGGGAGGCGACGCTCGTGCTGCGCGAGGAGGCGCTCGCGAAGCGGGAGCAGGACGCGCTGTCGCTCGAAGTCGAGTACAAGAACAAGCTCGAGGGCATCGACAGCGAGGTCGCGCTGCGCGCGCGCAGCGGCATCGCCGCCGCCGAGGCGCGCGAGGCGGCGAGCGAGCGGCGCGCGGTCATGCGCGAGACGGAGTGCCAGCAGCGCGAGAGCTGCTTCGCGGCGGCGGAGCGGGAACTCGCGGTGCGGTCCATCGAGATCGCGGCGCGCGAGGCGGCCATGGGCGAGAACGTCATCGGCGGCGTCGCCGAGCGCCTCGACAAGATGCTCAGCGAGCAGGCCGTGACGCGGGACACCATGCTCACGCGCCACAAGGAGATCGAGCGCGAGCGCGCGGCGCTGAAGGTCCGCGAGGCGAATTGGCAGGAGGAGGTCGCGAAGATGGAGGCCCAGCTCGCGGCGAAGGAGCGCGAGGCCAAGGCGCGCCTCGAGAAGGAAGAAAAAAAGGTGCTCCAGAAGGACTTCACGCTGAAGCGCCGGCTGCAGCGCCGCGTCCGCGAGGCCGAGGCCATCGTCGAGGCGCACCGCGCGGAGTGCGCGGTGCGCGACCGGCGCCTCAAGGTGCGCGAGGAGGAGATCAAGCGGCGGAACACGGACCTCGTGCACCTCCTGCGCAAGGCGCGGAAGCACGAGCTCGCGTTGAAGGACAAGGCCGCCAAGGAGAACGCGTCGCCCGCGGCGGGCGACTTCGCGCCGCCGCCCTGGGAGCCCCAGCGCAGCCCGCCGTCGTGGCAGCCCCCGGGCGCCGGCAACGAGGAGCTCGCGGCGCTGGAACTGGCGGCGTCCGCGGGCGCGGCCGCGCCGGACGCGGCGCTCGCGGCCGCGGCCCCGAAGCCGCTCGGGTCGCCGTCGCCCTCGCGCGAGCTGCTCTACCGCCCGGCGTCCGAGGCCGGGTCCCCGGGGAAGCCCGACGAGCCGAAGAAGCGCGACGTCGCCCAGGACGAGTTCAAGGCCGTGCTCCGCCGCGTCCAGGCCATGGAGGACGAGCTGGTCGAGGAGCTCCGGGCCTTTGACGGGTCGCGCGAGCAGGAGGAGGCGGACGCCGTCGAGGCGGCGCTCAAGGACGTCCAGGCCGCCGAACGGCTCGTCCTCGCCGCCGAGGGCCTCACGTCGTCGGGCTCCCGGCCGTCGTCCGCGCAGCCCGCGGCCGCGCCGCCGCGGCCCTACGCGGCGCGGAACCTCCCGGAGCGGTCGCCCGTCGCGGACGCGGCGACGCCGACGCGGCCGGGCCGCGGCGCGCGGCCCGCGTCCGCGGGGCCCGTCCGCGCGGAGGAGGCCTGGGCCGCCGCGGTCGCCGACGGGCCCGCGCCCGCGGCCGACGAGCCCGCGCCGGTGTACACGATCCGCCAGCACGAGTTCGACATCCCCGAGTTCAAGACGAACCCCGACGACAAGACCCCGCAGGGGTTGCGCGGCTCGAACGCGTATTCGAACGCGGACTACTAGACCACCCCAAGACAAGACCCCAAGACAAGACGAAACCCCCCGTCGCCACCCGCGCGGCCCCGCGCGCGCGGCGGCCCGCGGCGCGTGCTCGCGCGGGCTCGCGAAGCCCGCGCCCCCGACCGCGCGCACATAACGGACGACCGCCCCTCTGTAACATATCCCGCCGGCGGGATATGTTAAACACCGCTTCAACTTGGGGTTCAACTCTCAAACATTGCACTTCAACACCTGATCGCTGTCGACGATGCGACTGATGGCAGCGCGCGCGTCGACGCTGCGCGCGACGGTGCGCCTCGCAACCACGCGGCGGCGGCAGACGGTGCTCGCGACGGCCGGCCCCGGCTTCCTCGGCTGCCTCGGCCACGGCGACTGGGCGACGCGGGAGGCGCTGGAGGCCGTCGCCGACGACGCGGGCAACACGGTGCCGCTGGGCGGCGCCGGGTGCGTCGGCGCGGGCTGGGCCCACAGCGCGTGCGTCGTTCACGGGAAGGTACTGGTCTGGGGCCGGTACCTGGAGCCGCCGACGAGCGCGCTGCGGCTCTCGCGCCTGGATATGGTTCTGCCCATCTTCGCGCGTCTGGTCAACGCGACGGCGCTCGCCTTCGACATGAGCGGCGACCTCGCGCTGCGGCCCGTGCCCGTCGCGCTGCCGACGGCCGCGAGCAAGGTCGCGTGCGGCGCCGGGGTCACGGCGATCGTCGACGACGCGGGCGCGCTGCGGACCTTCGGCGCCAACGCCTTCGGCCAGTGCGGCGTCGGCGCCTTCGGCGAAGTCGTGTCGAAGCCCGCGGACGTCGTCTGGCACGACATCGAGACGCCGCCGAAAGTGGTGGACGTCGCGCTGGGCTTCCGCCACGGCCTCGCGCTCGGCGGCGACGGCGGCGTCTACTCTTGGGGCAAGGACGACAACGGGCAGCTGGGCATCGGCGGCCGCGACGCGTCGCCGGCGCTGCGGCGCGTCGACGTGCCGGACCGGTGCGTGGCCGTCGCGTGCGGCCTCGCGCACTCGGCCGCGCTCACGGACAAGGGCCAGCTCTACGTCTGGGGCAAGATGCGCGACCCGACGACCTCCGCGCCGTCCAAGGTGTCGTCGTCGCTCCCGGACAAGTACGGCGACGCGCTCAAGCCGCGCCTCGTGCCCATGTACGGCACGAAACTGACGCAGCTCGCCTGCTCGAACTTCCACACGGCCGTCGCCGACGACGCGGGCGCCGTCTACGTCGCCGGCCTCGAGCGGGGCTCGCGGGAGATGGTCCACGCGCCGCGGCGCGTGACGCTCCCGGCGGGGGCCTGGACGCTGCGGAGCGGCGTCGACGCCGTCGCGCTCGTGTCCGACTCGGAGGTCCGCGCGCCGGACCTCGTGCCGGGCCTCGCGTGCGAGGCGGACGTGCGCCTCGACGCGCGCGTCGACGACGCGGCCTTCGGCTGGAAGCACGCCGTCGCGGCCGCGCGCTTTAACGACGACTAGGCCGCAAGCCCCGGCCTCCTAGTCCGCGCGCCGGAGCACGAAGAGGTACGCGTCCTTCGCTTCGCCCGCGTCTCGCTCGAGGAGGCCGACGTCGCGCGCGACGCTCCGCCCGCCGTCGACGCCCGCGCGCACGACGCGCGTGGCGGCGTCGGTGTAGGTCAGGCACCAGGTCCGCTCGACGCCCGGCGGGAACGGCTTCGAGAAGAGCCGGGTCCCGAAGGCGGCGACCTCGATGGCCTCGAAGGTCACGCGCAGCTCGTCGTCCGCGCGCGGCTCGAAGGACGCGCGCACGGCGACGGTGAGGGCGTCGAAGAGCGTCAGCTCGTTGACGTAGGAGCGCGCCGCGCTGTCGACGACCTGGAAGGCCGCGCCGCGCACGGGGCCGAGCGCGCCGTTCGACGGGCTCGGCGCGGTCGCGTACTCGACGCGCCAGCGGCCGTCGAGCGCGGACAGCGGCGCCGGTGGCGCGTCGCGCTCGAGCCTTCGCACGGCGTCGTCGACCTTCGTTGCGACATCGGTGGGTACGTTCAAAGCGGGCGAGCCATACGGTGCGAGCAGGTCGAGGATCTCCGGCAGCGCGGTGGCGGCCGCGGCGCTGCGCTGCGTCGCGCGTGGGCGATGTGCTGGTTGATGCTGGAAGCCATGCGCGTAGGCGAGGATGCAGAGGACAGTGCGCATCGACTCGCAGATCTCATCCGAGTCATCTTTGCCTCAACGAGGCGTCAACAT